TCCCATACAAGCTATCAAATGTTGGCACATAACAACTAATCCAGTGTATCAGCCACTTGAAATCTGAGATAGCTGTAATTTTAAAGATATCATTTAAGTGATGCTTAGTGGTCAGTCAAAACCAACACCGTGCTTCAAAGACAGAGCTGCAACCCCAGCTGTAGCCAAGCATGGTGAGAAAAGCAGGCAAGCTCCCCTTTCACTCACAGCAAGAAACTGTTTCTGTGAGGACAGCACAGCAATCACTGTGGGGACAGGGTTTTGGATGCTGGCTTCAGTTAGCCACATCTGGGGCCTTCCAGGTCACTCATCTCTGTGTTTCATAGATTGGTCCTGACATAAAGCTGCTGCACCCTTCTGCATTAGCAGCTTCATGCTCCTCTTGCTTCCAAGCCCTGTTTGCCACCACACAGGACAAGATGGACAGGAAACCCACAGATGAGGAACACGGGGACTGTTTCAGAAGCACAGAAACACTGTTCCAGTGGGAGCTCTGTCCTGGTGCCCACATCTTCCTCCACAGCGTTAAAAATTGAATGCTTCGGGTGTCTCTGGTATTTTTTGCAACACAGAGTACAAAACATTCTGCTGATTGCTCCAGCCCAGACTCGAGAGCTCTGCCGCCTCCCAGCAGTGGCAGTGCTGACTTATGATCAGTTTTCATCACAACTCGAAGTGTCAGGCTGTGAATATGCTTCTGATATAAGACTGTACCTTTCCCCTTTCCTTCATTTCATGCTAATTTGCCTTTTCACTTAACACTGGTATTTACAAATTTAAAATGCATGTTCCTTTTTAGTCATCCATTAAATATCTGCTTTGTCTTTAGTGAGAGTGGAAAGAAGCACAGCCATTTCCTTGTTGCCTGGGAAACTCATCTTAGAGTTATCACCAGATTAACATGTCAGCAGGGTCCTCTTTCAGACATTACCCCTGAATAACTGAAGGCTGCAGCAGCCCAATAGCCCCTGTGTGAAATTCCCCCTCTCCACTTCTCAGGAGTGAAGGTTACACGAAGTCCACAAGACAAGCCATGTGCTTGCTGGAGAGGAGGGAGACAAGAGCAACACTCAGAGGTCCATTTCATGTTATCATTACCTAAGCAGTCCTCAGTCTGAACCCCAAAATCTCACAGGTGATTCCTTTTTCCCCCACTCTCTTTCACAAGATTGCATGCAGAATGGTTTGGAGACAGCAGAAGCTGTGCCTCCTAAGCCTCCCCAGGCCTTAAGAAATGAGGCTATGGCAGTTTCAGGGCACTCCATACAGCTCAAGGGCCTTGTTTTATCTCATCTTTTTCTATTTCTTAATTTATTCCACTTCTCAAAGTAATTTCACTTAATCAGTATAGATGGCTGGGTGAGTGGCTCTTTCTCCCTCATCCACAAGTTATCTCTGGATCACAGGGTTCTTTGCTGAGCAGACTCCACCTTCAGAGCTGACTGAGTAGAACTTCCCTTCTCTCAGCAACTGGAGTTCTGATTCTGATTTGGTAAATTTGGGAGAAACTTATAAAAACTTCAGGGAAAAAAACCAAACCCAAATGTAATAACTAATTGCATACTCCGAGCCCCTCATAAGGCACCCAGTAAATGTGTCCTCCCCAGTATAAGCAGATCACCTGCAATAACTGTCAGCTCCTTCTGGGTAACTGCTGCTCCTTTCACTGTCTGGCTGTTCAAACAGAGGTCTTTAAAAAGCAGTGACCCAGAATAAACACGTAACTAGAAACACTGCCTGTTTATGAACTGTCATTTGACATTCCTGAAACTCAAAATAACCTCTTTGTAAAATATCTATTGTTTTTGTCACTGACTGCTAACGTTGCCTTGTGATAGAATTCATGTCTCATATGTAATATTATAGAATCATAGAATAGTTCCAGTTGGAAAGGACCTTCAGATCATCCAGTTCCAACCCCCTGCTATGGGCAAGGGACACTTCACACTAAACCATGGCACCCAAGCCTCTGTCCAACCTGGCCTTGAACACCACCAGGGATGGAGCATTCACAGCTTCCCTGGGCAACCCATTCCAGTGCCTCTTCACCCTTAAAGAACTTCTTCCTTATATCCAATCTAAACTTCCCCTGTTTAAGTTTGAACCCATTACCCCTTGTCCTGTCACTACAGTCCCTAAAGTTTATTAAGTTATTTAATCTTTATTAAAATCCATTAGAAAGAGCAAAAGCTGTCTGAATTTAAGACCACTGTAACTAGAATTTCCTCAATATGTTTGTTCATTGAATGATCAAAGCAATCCAAAGTGGAAATAACAAAATACTGTATAGAGTGCAATTACATAGAGAATATGTTAAAAATGTAATCCAAAATCTGTGTTACTACATGTGCCAAAACCACAGCACAACAGTCTGTAAGAGCATATTGTGTACATGTGTACCAGTCTAACAAAGCTCTGGGGATAAAAAGCAGGAGACCAGAGCACAGGACAGTATTTCATCGCTAGCCACCTCCTTTGGGAACCATTCCATGTTCTTGTCAAGTTTTATATTAAATATATTGTACCTAGAGGATGAGAAGGATGTAAGAGAAAAATCTTGACAATTAAGAAGTTCTGTATTTTCTTTTGTGTGAGTAGCTCATAAAATGCCTTCAAGGCCTCTCCTTCAGTTTTGTGCTACAGTGCTGGATGTCCATGCAGCTGACATCCCATACATCCCATGCATGCTGTCAGTGCTCCCAAGGCAGCGGTTACTGGACCAAAGCGGGTTCGGCCTCCTGGTTTTGTTAATTCTTTTCCTTTTCTTCCCCTCCTCCCCCAGCTACAAGGTCCCATGCTGGTCTGTGCTGCTCCTGAGCTCAGCTCATCTGGATGACCTACCCTTGCGCAGGGCACAGAGAAGCTGTACCACACACCATCAACTGACCGCGTCCTGTGGCTGAAGAGCAAGGCGCGCTGCAGCAGCGCTGGCACGAGCATGGGGCTACTTGTGCAAGGAAGCACATGGGAATTCACACAGAGCCCAGCCAGGCTGAGCAGCCAGATCGTGTGCAGCTATCGATTAGATTTACAGCGGGTGGAGGCAAGGTTCACCCAACACCATGGATCTGTTGGAAAATACTGTACAGGAAGCTACTGTTGTTGCGGCATTTGCTCAGACTTATAGAAGGCCAGGAGGGGTTTTTCCTCACCCAGGTTATTTTGGCTCCTGAGGTACCAGGGTTGCCAGGGAACTGCTGCAGCAACCACCAGCAGGAAAACAGTCCTTGCATATAAAAAACACCTTGGGGAAGACATTCATCTCATCTCTGTTCCTGCTAAGGGTCCACCATAGGTATAGAAGAGGTTTTGTTCTTTAACTGGGCTATGACTTCTTTTCAGTCATCTCCAACCAAGTCACCTCATTAAACTGAACTTAAGACTGTCCTGGAGGCATGTGGTTTTGGTTTGGTTTAGAATGATATTTGACCCTTTTCTTTCTCACCTAATTTCACCATTGCATCCTGTGTACACTGCTGGTGAGTCCCAGTGGTGTGCTGCATCAGTTTGGAGTTTTAAGGCCCATATACCTTTGAAGTGGTTATGGTGCTATGCCTTCACCAAGAACAAAGACATTCTCATCCCTTGAAACATTGCACCGCTGAGGAATTTGGTCTACCAGATGGACTGCAAAGTAAAGTATTGCCACAGACGAGAAGTAATTTATGATTTCCATTAATTCCTGCCACCAACCACACTAACTGGCATTTATCAGCAAGGAATGGATCAACAATTAGTCACAAGAATAAAAACAAGGGAGTAGACCCTTGAAATGGAAAGAGGATTATTACTGCTTACAAATCAAAATTATATTGGCTCCTTTTTAAGAGATTAGGTGGGGAATTTATAGGAGACTATGCCAAGAGCTCAAACATGAACCCACTTGACTGTGGGAAAAAATTATAATGGGTCTATGTGCTTTGGTGGGTACTGTCAAACTACTGCTGCATGAGACGTTCTTCCAAGATTTAGGTGATGAGGATGAATTGCCTTCAGCCCTTATTGCCAAATAGTCACTCATTTCTACAGTTATTAGGGGGGAATTTCAGTGTAAGAGGAAGATGGAATCCAGCTCTGGGACAGACAAAGAAACAGCCCCAGCCCTCCCACGTGTCCAACAGCCCAAGTTCCCATGATCTTCCCTCAGAAAAGGACATGCTCAAGTTCTGATGCACTCGAAGACGCTTAAACATGGTCCCAGGGAGCAAAGTGCTTATTGTAGCCCACTGAGCCCATGCAAAGCCAGTATCAGTGTGCCTTCCCTCTGCACCAACCAGGCTGCACCCTAGGGGCTCTGCAGAGCTGGGATCCAGGAACACCAGTTTGTCTGTCCCAACAGTTCTGGTCATTTCCACAGGTTACACTCGGAGCATGGTGTTTCCGGGTTAAAAGATCAGATCTGTAAAACACTGATATGAGGGAAATATTCCCTGTGGGTTTTTAAAGAATTCCAGAGTCCTTCCTTGAACTAGTTTTGATCATTTTCTTAATGGAATGCAGCTGGCTTAATGAAAAGGAATAGTCAAGAATCGTTTATTCAGTGAGTGATGGGAGGAAGTGTCCCAAATAATATAGTTGTACTCTGTGAAAATGATCTATTAATGAAGGCATTTGTTCATAAGAAGTATGTTCAACAATGGTGGTAAAAATTAATCAAACATGTTACTAGCAATTATTCTCCCACCATTTCTAATTTAGAGATAAAATGTCCTTTAACTATAGTTTCTATATGAAGTGCACAGGGAAATAATTATTCAGGTACCTGCATCAAAAATAGCTCAGCAGATTTCAGGGGCAACAGATGCATCAGACAATATGAATTAAACCCATTCTGGATAAAAATGGCAATGTTCTCCTTGGGGTTTTTGCTGCTTTCTAGTTATTTTGCATTATTAATTTGGAGTAATGCTTACACAGAATACCAACAGGAATCTGACAGGAAACTAACATAGTGACTCCCCCCAGAGATCTTCAGTGTTGCTAAGCCCATTTTTCCTTACCCAGAGTTAATGAGTAATGATCTCCTTGGCAGTGGTTCCTGGAGTAGAGACTTGTACTTGGGTTCCTGTTAAATACAGTCAGATAATGGAGGTATCAGGGGATTTATCTAAAGAAACTTAGTAAGTAAATATCCTCCAATGCAATGAGTCATTTACTTGCTCCAAACTGTTATGAATATTAATATAGCTAACTTCAGTTTTAAAGAAAGTTTTATACACAAGCAACCTTTATTCCTGATCATTCTAAAGATCCTTTGATGTCTCTTCCACATCCAAAGCAGCACCCCCTCTTCCCTACATCCAGTTCAGAAGTCCAGGGATTTCTTGCATTCGTTTTTTCTCAAGTTGCAGGACAGCTTCTTTCACAGGTGCTGCTCTGGTATTTCGTCACTGAATTTATTGGAGGTGCAAAGGTGAGTGCTGGAAGTCATTTTCCTGTTGTTCTTGTGCTAAGGCGAGGCTGGCCTTGGGGGCAAACTCACTTGGAGCAGGATTCCCTTCCAAAACCTGGACAGCTGAGCTTGAGCTGAACACCCACTGAAGCTAACAGATCATTGATTCAACCCCACTCACTGTCTGCCGCAGGATGGGGCTGCGGTGGCTCCCAGAGCAAGCTCCACTTTTCACTCCTCAATGTGCAACACCTCAGCACTGGTGTTCTGCAGGCCAGGCTCTGAGGCACCCCTGCTTACCTGAGCTGTCTGTGGCTTCAGGCAGGAGAGTGAGACCATGGTGGGTATCCTGATCTCCATCCCCTCCAGTGCACTGCAGTGGGACCAGAAGGGCACAACAGCCATTTCCAGGATCAGAGCAGTCTTTACTTTGCAGGCTGATCCCTAATATCCACCCCAAGGAGACACAGAATGACAGTTTTCTCTCCCAGAGTAGATAAGACTGTCTTGTCCAGAGGATATTCTTCATCATGAGATGTTCCCAGCTAAATGCTAGTGCCAAATTAGGTCCAAAGCTAATTTATTTTTGCTCCACAGCTACCTCCAATAATCCCCTTTTCCCTTTAGCCACCCACTCAAGAAGAGCTGGAAGATGCAGAAGAGGATGCTCAGGATCTTGTGTGGTAGGGGACCAACCAAAGTACAACTTCACCATCACTGAGCATGAGAAGGGCTAAACACATAAAATCCAAACAGTGTGAGAAGCAGGTTTGTGCCTGTGGTGGTGCTGAGCTGTGTCCCTGCTGCCCCTCCAAGCACAGCTCAGCACCTGCTGAGACCCATGTCAGCGTGGCTTGGCTCAGCACATCCCACCAACAACCACACAAATGCTTTTCCATCAGTTTTCCACATGTGCTGCAACAGCAATAATTTATGTAAAATAGATCAAACCTTACATGAACTTTTGCATAAACTAGTGATGTGTGATCTATCATCATCTTATTATTTTATATGTATTAAAGGATGAGATATGCTAACCCCCTTTGAAATCCTCATATTTTTAATGCACAGTGTAAATAAGGTTAGTTGGGGTTTTTTTTCAATGAACATTTAGAATTACTGCTGATATAAGAAGATTCTATTTACAAGTCTCATTTTCACACCCTTAAAGGCACCTTACTCAAAATGGTCAGTTCCAACAGGGACTGCAGCAGCAGCAAGTCCCAGAAAACATCAAGGAAATTAAAATTCACGTCAGGAATACAAAAATAAAACACATACACCATTTAAAATGGACATCCAGATATGAAAATCTGATCTCACACATCTGGAACTGTACTTCTATCATTAGTGTCACAGGGGGACGATTCACTCACATTCATTTCTGCCCATGTCCATGCACAGGGCCAGGCACCAGTCCCTGGGGTCTTCAAGGGATGCAGCGATGCAGCTGGTTTGTGGTGGTTTTCATGGAGGATGGTTACTATGGCCTGGGGCTTCTCAGAGGTGAGACTAGAAGCACCAAAAGCTATTTCCCAATATTTCTCCTGCATAGATTATAACTGATTTTTCCACATAGAGGGTTGGTTTTCGCTTATTCTCTCTCCTTTTTGAAACAATATTCTATAGTTGCACTTTGATTTACTTTAATAACTAACAAAGGTACTTGTAAACTCCTTTTAATATGGTCTATGTATCCCTCTAATTAAACCTTTCAAGAACCATTTATGCTAGAACTGGTTCTTGAACCACTCCAAGGTAAAATTTTCTTATAAAAAAGGCAAAAAGCACATCTCCATCCTGCAAAGCCTTCAGATTAGCTGAGCCATGCTGGGCTCTGTCACCTGGATCAGTGGGAGGAGCCTGGCAGAGTTAGCCCAAAGAGGTGGGTGACTGATAGTCTAGAAAATGAGTTGCAAGTAGAGGAGAGGAAGGGGCAGAGACTCCAAGCTGTGCTTTAAGCCCTTGCTGTCAGACCACATCCTCCCTCAGGGGACTCCCTACAACCCCACATGATGGAGTCCCCTCAGACAGGGCTGAGCTCTCCATCTTGCTGTTCAATATCTGACCCTGAAGAAGTGGCTTCACCTCCCTGGCCTCTGCTTTCCCTCCTGAGGGTACCACATGCCTGCTGTCAGTACCATCTGGAGGTGAGCAGGGGACAGAGGATGAAGAAAGAGCAAAGGCAAACAGTGCACAGTGAATGCTCTTGCGCAAGCACACACCACCTTTCTGTAGGATGCCAAAACCCAAACGTGGTTTGAGTTCAGCCATCCCTCAAATACAGCTGTATCTGTAAATTCAGCCCTCTAATCATGAGGAGCAAGAGCAAAGAGATCAATCCATCCAGCCCACTGGGCATCGCCCCATATTTGATAAGCTCTGATTGGCATCATTAAGTCCGGGTTTCTGTTTGGAGAGTTCAGTCTCCTCCTCACACGAAAAGTAAACTCAAATGAAAAGGTAAATGTACAAAAGGATCTTGCTTACCCCGAGGTCTCTGGTGGGTGCCGAACTCTGAATAATTCCGAGGGCAGTTCTTTGCCATCTGCATCCAGCCTTCCTTTGCCTGGGCCCAGACTAGGGAATCATCACCTTTGTGGTAACTTCAGAGAACACTCTGAACTTGTGCAATGTTCCTGTTGTTGCTCAGACTCCCTTGCAAAGATCAGCAAGTTGAGAATCCAGGCGGTGACTTTGGCAAGGGCAAGGTGAGGCTGGCAGAGCTCAATCAGAGGAGGGAGATAAATCCCACTGAAATGACTCCCTTGGGGTAGCTCCAACACGTGACTGCGGGCAATGTCAAACCACAGCCTGTCCCTCCTCCTGCAAGAACATTTATCACTGAAAAAAGACAGCTTGTTTCTGAAACACTTTGGGAAGACCACGGTCATGGAGCCACTCCTCCAAAGCTGGGGTTTTCCTTCAGCATGGGGAGGTGCCTTCCCCAGCAGAGCACTGGCTGCTGCTCATCCCTGTTGAGAGAGGAGCCCAACTGAGCCTCATCCACCAGTGTATTCTATAGGAGCTCACCACTGTGACTGCCCGTCAGCAGCCACTTCAGACCTGATGGAGTAATCACTGGGAGGTTAACTGGGGAGGCGCTCCTATGTTGTAATGCATGGATCACTTCATTAGGGTGTTTATTTCTGCTATCACCATCCTTTGCTAAAGCAGCCTAGAGAATGAGAAGACTGAAGGCACAGGAAGCGCTCTTAACTAGACACATCTGAATGTGGATCATTCCTCTTGGTTCAGGTGGAAACAGAGGCATTTTAGGTAATATTTGAACCCTGTAATGGTTTCTTCAACACTTACACAGACAAGGGCAGCAAATGGAGACTTTGATAAAAGCAGTAATTACATAGAAGTGGTGTTGGGAAAGCAGGAGGTAGGAAAGTACAGGTGAAAGCGAAGAGTTCATATGATGTAAAATGATCATACTATTTAATTGATATACAGGAGGATGTTGTTCCAGTGGTATGGGGAAAAAGAAATAATGATCAGTTAACTCATTATTAATGTTCATTTTCTTTTGCAGAATTGCCAGAGGGTTGAGTTAATTATTAAGCATGACAGTTGGGCTTTAATATATCAGCTATAGATTCCAGTCACAGCAGTGTAGTTCAATAATTGGGTCTCTTTCTGCTTCATTTTGACTAATAGCATACTTACAGCAATTAACATTCATCATTGCACAGAAATAGGCCATTTGAAACCTCACCAAAAAATGGCAGCACAGCAGACCTCGGCTTGTTATTTAGTGCTGAATTCAAAGCAGTTACTTGGAAAACATTGAACAACTTCTCTGATAACTTCTGAACAGCCACAGCAGAACGTGGATGTGCAGTGAAAGCCAGTGGTGCCTCAGGTGAGCCATGTTCTAATCAACAGTAGCAATTTGACAGTTATAAATCGCATTTGTAGAGTGTCCATCTTACCTAACACCTAACTTTTAAACAAACTTTACAGGTGCTCCTTGTCTTTAATATTAAAACATAAATGAATGGAAACTATTACACCCGAGGCGACACTGCTGATGGTGGTGGTGTGTGTCTGTGTTACCTGTCTGGTTTTCACCACTCATAGAACATCAGGGAAGCAATGCGAGACAGCATTGAAGACCCACGGAGGTTTTAAAACCCACATCTTTTGTTCATATTTCAGACCTGAGCTCCATTTCCTGGTCTCACCCTAGAGACTACATCTGTGAAAGACCAAAAAATAACCATTTCACTCTCGCTGTGCGGGCACATGCAGTTCCTCCACAGCCACTGTTCTCTCCAGCAATATCATTCCAGTGCACCAAATGCCAAAGTTCTAATTTCATTGGTCATAGTTTTAGCTAAGATAGAAGCTTGCTCTTCTGTATCACCCTATTGGACATAATACCTGTTTAGGTGTGGTTTTGTGGAGTGACCAATCACCTATGCAGCACAGAGATACCCAGAAGAAATAAGTGTAGATATAGAATTGAAGCTGCTGGTTTGCTCATATGGGTATTCGGGTCAGGGTTTCTGAATCAATCATTGCAGAACATCAAGTAAGTATCAGCACAGAGGCAGCCTTCTCACTCAGCCTTGCTTGTGCAATAGAAACAATAACAGTCTTTATTTAAAGGCATATTTGTTGTTTTCTAGGACAATTTTGGAATCAAAGGTGTTTTTCCAGCACCTCATCTTTACAGATGCTGCAGTGCACACTGGCTACTGAATGCCACGTTTACATGAGCTACTGACTGATCAGCCAAAACCTCTTTCTTGTCACCAACTCATCCTTAGCTATGACTCTGCACATTCAGAAATCATCTGATACTGGAAGGTTTTATCCCCTTAGTAACAATAATGCAGGATCATAGCAGATGCATTTTACACTTTAATTAAAACCTGGTCCCCAGTGCTGCTCCAGAGTTACCCAAGGGTTCAGAAAAGTCCCAGCTCCCTCAAATACAAGAGCTCTAGCCCAGGACATTTCATTTCATGGCCCGAGGCAGCAAAACACCACTGTTACAAGGCTCTGATGCCAGCGATCCACACTCCAGAGCAGATGCTCTCTTCTCCTGCTACTGCTTTTCTTTGGCAGGGGTGGAGGAGTGGGAGATTCAACTATTGAGCTCACCTGGGGCTGATCAACATCTAGGAAATGGGTTTTGTTGTCTCTACGTGAGGGCTCAGGATTAGGGTCCCAGCCAGGTCCTGTCCGCGCCAGGGATGTCACGTCCTGTACACACACCTCATAAAAGCATTAGAAACCACGGGCATGCCCCTGGTGTGTTTGCATTACTGTGGGGTTATGTCAGTGCTTCCATCATAAAATCATTTCAGCAGGTTGTAAGTCAGGTGTAAAAACTCTCTTTGGGCTGAAACTTGGCATGTGCACACATGCAAACAAACACACACAGCCTGATTTCTGGGAATGGGACAACTGGGGAGAGATCTGCATTACTTCTGGATCCTGAGCAGGAGCAGAGGATTTTATGTGGGGAATTCCTGTGGGGAGAAGCTGCACAGCTCCTGCAAGGGCAGTGGGGAAGGCAAGGACTGCTGCAGGTGCGACAGAGAAAGAGCTGTCCTGCACTGCCATTCCCAGCCCCATCCCTCCTACCTCCCAGCTCTGCAAATGAAAAGGGAAAGGTGACTTGTCTGTCTCGATGTTAAGGTCCCTCAGGTGAGGGATACACACTTTCCAAGCTCAGTCTAAATCTAAAAGTGTATACGGATGCCCCTGCATGTACTGCAGTCCCCTGGTGCAGCAAGAAACCTGGAGAGGGGCTTGGGACAAGGGCCTGTAGGGACAGGCCAAGGGGAATGGCTTGAACCTGCCAGAGGGGAGACTGAGCTGAGCTCTTAGGCAGAAGCTCTTCCCTGTGAGGGTGCTGAGGCGCTGGCACAGGGTGCCCAGAGAAGCTGTGGCTGCCCCATCCCTGGCAGTGTTCAAGGCCAGGTTGGACACAGGGGCTTGGAGCAAGCTGCTCCAGTGGAAGGGGTCCCTGCCCATGGCAGGGGTTGGAGCTGGAGGAGCTTCAAGGTCCCTTCAACATGAACAATTCCTTGTTCTCTTGGAAGCCCACAGAGACTAAGCCAAACCTTTAAACAAGCTCCAGGTTAGTTTGGATGCACCTGAATGTTGCTGCAAACTGCAGAGGAGAAATGCCCTTATATAACCAGGACTTTCCTCAGACTCAACCACAAAGCATGCAAACCCCACTGCTATCAGAGGACCCTCCTACAGGGCCCTCCAATTTCAGCGCTAGTAGTGAAAGGAGAAATCATGCACCTTGAAGCTACATCCAACAGTGTTTGTACAGGACATTCAGTGGGACCAGGGGAGGAGTTTTGAAGGAGCATAAAGGAAAAGCAATCCTCTTGCTATCTCTTGACTCTTCACCCAGTTCTGAACCACTTCCTCGTTTCAGAACTTGAGGCCTCCTTCCAGAAGAGAGCAGGGCAGGGACTGACTGTGGCTGCAGCATCCTTTGGCTCATTTGCAGCTGAAGGTGTTCAGCATACATGACCTTTTGTCATGCAACAAGTACATTTTCTTCACACTTACTTCACAGCTACAACTCTACTAATAAAACAGGCCAAACTTCAAGCAGCCATTTGCTGTGACATTTTGTTCCCTGAGTAACACAATGCTCCACCTTTATGTCAGTTTTCCTGTAGTTTTCTGGGTCAAAAATCCATGTCTAGCCCATGGGAGGTGAGTCATTTCCCCATGTGCTTCCACTCCTGCTGCAGCTGCAGCCCTCCGAGAGTCTAGATGATGAGCATACATTAAGAAGAAACATACAGAAAGAACTATAATAATGTATTACTGTATCATCTGGCGATAAAAAAGGGAACATGGTTGACAATAAGGGTATTCTTATTCAATGTCATGCAACCATATTCAGTGGTATTAGTGGTTTGAGCATTAGTATCCATCATCCCAACTAGGAACTATCTGACTTTCTGGTTAGAGACACCATGTGAGCTCAGGAGCCCATTACAGCTCCATCTTTCCCATGGCACACACAGCACCAGCTCTCAGTGACTCTTCACTGAGCAGACCCTGAGCACAGGATGATTCCAACTAAAAACTTCCAAAGGATAAATTATTAGGAGTATCATTCCAGCAGGAACTCTGATGGTTATCATGAGATAATCATCACACATCTGCATTTATAAGACATAGGGCATAGTCTGGTGCTTTCCAGTCCCAAGTGACATGATCTCATAACCACACACCCCTGGAGCTGTACCATGGCTGCTAACAGAG